CCGAGGTTATTAATTGGTTTGGAACCTCTTTAATAATAGAAAGAAATTACTACTTGGCCTGGACAGTAATGTCACTTTCAGATTGTTTTTAAAGCCAAACTTTTTATTTTCTATTTGTTATCTCTGAGTGGACTAGCTGAAATATGATAGCCCTTTTGATGCCACTTTCTGTGGAGTTCCTTGTATGGTTCAAGGCTTGACTTTGTTGTTTGCAGAAAGATGTTGGCAGGCCTGGAAAGAAGACTTCATTAAAAGACAATAAAGTTGTAAGGAAAGCTAATTCAAGAGTTTTATTCATTAATAGCAGAACTCAAATGCAGATAGTTTTTCAGGCACTGAAGATCTAAGGTTATTTTCTAGACCTTTTACTTATTATATATATTTTTAGGAAGGTCTTGATGACTTTCCTCCCTGCCCCTCAAATCCTCTTAAGAGTTCTTTTAGTGAAGCAAATGACTTCATCACTGTCCAGCTGATCTGTCTTTAGTGTTATTTTTAAGGAAAAGTCCCACCTTGAACCCTGAATACTGATTTAGCAGAATAAGTAGTTAAATGAGAGATTGGAAGCTAGAGCTAGTTCTCTCACTTTGAACTAACGCCCTCTCGAACCCCCCTGCACAATTAAAGAGGAGGTTATATTCTAAAGTAGCAGTACAAAAATCTCATACCTTGGTCCAGTATGAAAATAACTGCTGTAGCACAAAATGCCCTTGCTCTGTGCCCAGCTGAAATTGGGGGAGGGACAAAGCCCAATTGTTGCTTTACCCCATCCTGTCTGCCTGCTAGAAGGCCTGTTTCCTCCCCTAATGGTTTCTGCCTAACAAATGGTGTTTCTTTTTTACAGCATTATGATCCTGGACTTGTTGTGGTGATGGTAAACTTAGCAGTGGTAATTTTTTATTTTCAGACTGAATTACTCCTTTTGTCATCAGTGCACCAATATGTTAGGCTTACTTTCTCTGTTGTAGCCTTCATCCTTCTGCTTGGTCTTTTTCATTTTCCTTTCCTTTCCTTATGCAACTTGTCTGATCCTCGTTCATTAAAGGGTAATGTTAAGAAGGGATGTATCTGTTTGTGTTAGAACCGCAAAAAAAAAAAATCAGTTAAAACATTAAATTCTAATACTGTCAAAAACTTGATTTCCCCACAACGTAATGGGCACTAGCACTTGCTACTGCAATTTATAAATAAATTAAAACAAACTTTGACTGCCTTAGAAGGCAAAAGTACTAATGCAGAGTTTATAAACAGGGGTTTACAGAGGTAATGAATTTGTACCAAAACTTTCTTGATTCTTGCATAACAAATTCTGACAGACCAAAAAAGATACCAAAACAACAACAAAAGTAAATTCCTTTGTCATTTTTTTTCCCAATTCTTTCATTGGACCATTTGTTTTTACCAGTAAATCCCTGATTGAGACGTTATGAAAGTGATATTGCACTTAGGAAGTCATTTTTATAACCTGTCTTAATTTGGTCCTTTTGCTAAAGATTGCAGTCACTGCTTATTTATTATACCATTGGGCATAAGGTAGTAATGCATTTTCATTTTGTTTAACTGGCAGTCTTTAATAGTATCTAAAAGAAGGCTGTATTTTAGAACTTTTTCCTGGCATGAGATGTTCTTTATTTACTTACACTTTTTTCACTATAATAATTATTCCTAATTATCTCCTTATTGTTTAAAACATAATGGGATATTGGTGATAAGTAAACTTCTGAATTTGTTTTTCATTATTTTTTAAAGATAAAAACTAATTCCACAAATATAGAGCAACTAGATACAAGTGGTTTCTGGTCACTTTGAAAACAGTTTCTTCTTTTTTGTCCAAGACCAAACCTAGTCATGATCATGGCATTTGTTGTTATTATTTTTTTTATTTGGTTTTGGTAATACCTCAGATTTAGGCTGACAAAACTTAACTTTTAGCCCAAAGGTATAATATATATGTGTGTATAACAAAAACAAAAAATAAAAAAACAATTGTTTACACCAGCCTGAGTGATACGATGAGGGAAGTAAACATTGTGTTTTTTCACTAAAGGTGTACAACGGATAAGGTAAGTCCTCTTTATCAGTGAGCTTACATCACAATAAACAGCGCAAGTTGTGATGTAAAACAGCTGTGGTAGTAAAGTGCTTGTCTGCCCCATTTTGCTTTGTTTGGCTGGTTATGAGTGGATTAAATATACATTTTAAAAAATCTCCAGCATAGATCGACTAGTTTAAAGTCAATTTTCTTCGCAACTAGTCCTTTTCACAGCTTACCGATTACCACAGCCAGTGTTAAATCCACTCTGGAAAATGGGACCTCAGTGCACCAGTTCAAAAGAAACATTGTTCTTTGTTTCTAAAGGCAACTAACTGTTGCTTGTTATTTAAATTTTTCATAGCCCCACTTACCTGTAAAGCATCTTTTGAAAACAAAAAAATGTTAAACATACTGAGTTGCAGTTACAGAGTTTTCCTGTATCATGTTTGAAACTGTTCTTTTTGATTTAAGCATGTCAGTTGAAATATTACCAGTTTTAAAAGTGTGTGTGGGAGGATGTCAGTGGACAGTAAGAGTGAAGTGATTCTTGATGAAAAGTTATTTTAAACCTCCTGGTGCCATTGCTTAGAAGTGTTTTCTTTACATTACTTAATTTTGCCATAGTAATCTGGAATTGTTCTCACTGGAAGGACAATCAAGGTGGTTAGTTGGGCTTTTAAACTGGGAGAGGTAGGTTTGGTTGTAAGCTGTGAGAATGGCTTGTGTTTGGTTCACTGTAGCTTTCTGGTCTCTGCACTCCAAGGCAAGATCTCTAACCACCCAAACCCAATGTGTAAAGTGAGCTGTTGGCTTAGCTTTGCATCTTACCTTGATTATGTATGTGTTCCTGTTACAGGGAGAACAGATCCCATTCCGATTGTTGTCAAATATGATGTCATGGGCATGGGTCGCATGGAAATGGAGGTAAATTGATCTCATTAGCTCACTTGTTTTATGGAATATTTAAAATTGTTACTAATTCCAAATTCATATGCTAGTGCAAGAATATATTTATTAGATAGAATGTAGTTTTAATATTTTTCTTTGGAAATTTAAAAATATTTTTTACATTTTTATTTAGTGCTGCCTTTGAGGCAGGTAGGTGGCAAATAACCACCCTGTTTCAATTGAGACATAAAGAAATTGAGTAGTCTGCCCAGGGTTATGCCACAAGGCAAGATAAGGCTTAAACCCAGACCCTGGTACTCATTTCAGTAGGCAGTATTGCTTAACTTGTAAAATATTTGCTGTGGTAGAAGCTTTGTCCCTACAGAGATGTGTACAGCTGTCATCTGTGGTATCTTTTATTCATTGCCTAAAATAGTTTCTCCATTTACTCCTAATTCTTTGGCATAGAACATTGAATTACAGTCTGTTATCATAAAAAAATGTGCCTGCTGGGAACCACCAGCATGAAAGGATTAATGAACTTTTCTGCATGCTATTTTCTCTGTGGGGTGACAATAAAACAAGGGGTTGCTGAGCAAAATACAGTGTTTTTTACTTTCATACAGTACTATAGTTGTGCAGATGACTTTTTAAATAGCTAATTGGGGGTACTTTAGGAATTAAAACTAATTATATCTATTTTTGTTAAGCTCGATTATGCCGAAGATGCTACCGAAAGGCGCCGTGTCCTAGAAGTAGAAAAAGAAGACACAGAAGAATTGAGACAGAAGTACAAGGTATTAAATGAAGCTTTTCTTGCATGTGGGGTGCTCACACTGAAAGAGATATTTTTGGTGAAAAGGATCTCCGTTAACAACATTTGTTTGATATTTCGTGGTCATTAGTAGATCTCAAGTTTCTGAACTTTCCTATTTATTGCCTCTGTAAAAACTTTCGAGATAATAATACCCACTTCATACATTTGTTGAGAAGATTGCATTTGTGTTTGAAAACACAGTGCTGGGTAATAGCAGTAGAAATTGTTAACTTAAGAGTCCTTTGGGAAAAAAGAGTCCTTTGAGAGCTTGATACCTATTGATAAGCCTTTTTTTTAAAATAGGTGATGTGTTTTAAGAAAACAAATTTGTTTAAAGAAAACAAATTGAGAATTTCATTCAGTATTTCTAAGGGGCTTAAATTATAGAAAACTATCTTAGTACATGTTATAATTTAACTTTCAAAAAGACTGACCAGGGAATATGTTTTTCAAGATGTTGTATGCCCAATCTCTACCATAATAAAATAGGTGAGTTTGTAGATGAGAAACAGGCTTAGCTAAGATTATCATATAAAAACTGATTTGGTCATGATACTTAAACGGATAGAACAAAAGGAGAAATGTTATAGCCACCACAGTAGTGGAAGATTTTAATATACCTGTCTTAGTAATTGATAGAAGTAGAGAAAAAATATCAGCAGGGATATTTGGAAGATTTAAACAACACAATGAAAAGATAATAGAAAAAATCCCTATGTTTGGAAATTAAGAAACATGTTTTTATATAACCTATTAGTAAAAGAATAAATCACAATGGTAATTGGAAAATATTTCAGACTGAAAGATAAAAACACCACATATGAAAACTTAGAGGATAAGCTGAAGCAATATGATGTTTTATAGCAAATACATATCCTTAATGCTTATATTAGGAAAAATGAAAAATAGGAGATAAAGAAAGTAAACATTCCTCTCAGGAAGGTAGAAAGAATAGCAAAATGAACCTAAAGAATGTAAAAAGAGAGAAATAATAAAGAACAGAAATGAACAAAACAAAACAAACATACAACAAAACTTAGTTCTTTAAGGTCCTTGTGCTGATACTAAGAAGAGAGCATAGAAAACCAATATCAAGGGTATTATTTCAGATGCAGCAGGAACTAAAAAATAACTTCATGCCACTAAGTGTAAAATTAGGTTTAAGGGGCATGTGCCGGAGGCAACCCATGAATCAGTCCCCACCCCACCCCCT